GGCTTTTTTTTGGTGCTATGTGTTCCTGGTTTTTACATGGCTTTAGATTCATATGTGATCAGCAGTTTGGCTTTTGGTTTGAAAAATCACGAACTTAATTTGCATTTGAATGGGTGGATCGGGATAGTTGTCACCATAACGAGCTCTCCAAAGAGACTTGTGCGTGTGGCAACTGTTGTGTTGTAAGTTCAGGTAATACCAATGCTTATTTGTACGAGGATTTGTATAATAAACGCGATGCTAACTTGAGGGCATGGCCAGTCATTAATTTTCATTAGTTCATCCCCCATAGTTCCTGAATATACTCCTGAAACGTTTCGTGATTATCAATCAGGTTATCCACGTTCGTCAGGGTGCCTAAGATGCCTTTTCTTGATGATAGGGTGTTTGAGGAAATGAAGTTATTGTACTTGGTCATGCTTTAAACCAGATCAGCCAAAAACAATACCTCAGAGTTACATAGAAATAAGAAAGGTCCTGATACAAACATTTGCAATTCGGCACCTGATAGGTCACATGAGTCACGTGAGATAGTAGCCGTCAGGTAAATGGCAAATATAATAAATTAATTAACTTATCTGATAACTTGTAGGTACATAAAAATGTCATGATATCCCTAGAATCAGACCATGGATTAAACCCTATGTCTGTCCTAGAACTATCGACAAGACGTCTAACAACCCAACCAAAGGTTTTGACACTCTGATGTTAGCTTGAGATGGTGTTAGTTCGTTAATGAATAGATGTGCCGGTGTAATCAATTTACAAACATAATTCAGAATACTGAAGTTGTAAATAAAGCTGTTGATGTATAGTTAGCTAGTCATTTACCAGATCCTGATTAACTTAATCTTTCGATTAGACTCTGTTCAGAAACTAGTGACCGAGCGAAAGCTATTTAAGAAGATTCATCATATGCTGAATAATACCTTGAACTGGTTGCTAATCTTATCTGACATAGGTTTCTGAAAATAAACTAATTGATTCAAATAATGAATGTAGTGCATTTAATGCAAAATCAGGCACTGTACTTTCTATTGCCATTTGTTTTGAACCCTCAGTAGTACTTCTGAATAAATTACATATAGAACTGACATTTATTCTCTAGGTCGTGTTAAGGTTAGGTTAATTTCGTCACCTGATTATGAGTATCGTGTAGATTACTTTAATCATCTAAGTTTGGCCAATTAATAGCATGCTAAAGCGTCTAGATTGTACAGGGAAAGAGCTCAGTAAATCAGATAATAGCTTCAGGGACTAACATGTTCCACAAATTAACTATTCTATCTTGCCAAGGCTGATGACCATCGTCTTGATAATGCCGCCCAGTATATAATAAATTTCCGGACAGTTTTGCTTGATTGTGTATATTTCGTTGGCAGGTAGTTGCTAAATAATACCATGGGCTTACAGAAACACCATTTTGATCGTGAGGCTAATATGACATCCGTGGTGTATTGTTACTAATGTTGTGATAAAACGGATAAGCTCGTTGTATTGATAAGGTCTAAAACTGAGGAGCTGTAAAATTTTAAGCATTAATAAAATCCAAACTACTACGTACTTATGGACTCAGTAGCTGGCTAACTATTCGTCCGTCCATTTGTACTCTGTAGCACTATGATGCTTGAACATTTCATATAGCCGCTTATCCTTTTCGTATGGAGATATTGGACTTAAGTTTCTAAAAGTTCTTTGCCGTGTTATTAGGTGGTGGTAACATCAAGAGTATTTAAATGCTTCACGATGCAAGTCAAATGAAAATAATGTTCCCTGCATTCTTAGACAGCCAAAAAGGGTTGAACCTCGTTGAAAGAATGTAATTTGGATTTGCATGTTTTAGTGTTAGGAGAATACCAGGCTGGTGCCTTATTCATGAGCCCAATAAAAAAAGGAAATATTCATACAAGTAGGCAGCCTGTATCAATATCTGATTTGCCTGTTCCTTCTACAATTTAGATTTTTCAATAAGTATCAGAGAGGAGTTTTTTGGAGATTGTAGTGATTTCAATAAGTTGTCATTTTTGCTTGTTTTAACACACCAGTTATGTTCATTATTTGCATAACTTATTCGGAAGCGTATATGAAGAACTAACGATCATTCGCTTTACACGGTACAAAAAAGTATAACGAGAAAGAGCGGCGGCTGGCGATTTGCATTGAAAAGTGTGAGCTTTAATCAAATTTCGATTCTAGAACTTTTAAGTGGTTGAGATGTAACGTAAGTCAGCGTTTCAAGTTTTCAACTGACAGTCGACTGTTTAACCTTAGAATGACGTTCAAAACTCCAGCAGACACAACCATGTTTACGTAACTTTCGTTTCCTCAACCCCGGAACACACGTTTTCTGTGCTATCTGCTTTCGCGTATGAATTTGTAATAGCTTAAGTTAGGTGGTTGATAGTCGAATTCTTTATTTCTGACCGTAGAATAGTTTAATGGTCAGTCGAAAAAACACTTGATAACCGAACAGTGCATGGGAAGCTCACACACTGAGCGATCGAGCGATTCTCCATTAGGCTACAAAAATTGAACCGACACGTTTTGGTTTAATGAATTTATCGAACGGCTTTTCCCATGGGTTGATTTTCAGAGGAAGCTGATGTAACGGCCTAAGTAGGGTGGTTAAATGTTAGCGGAGAATCTTTACGTATATTGGATGTTGAAGGTTTTATGTGTTTAAATTCGGACCTAGCGCTCCAATTTCTCCGTTCTACTATCTAAATTAAGACACTACAACCGCTAGTTATGCTTTTCCATTTATATAATGATGGGTAACTACCAGAATCAAGAATTTATCGGATTTACTGTTACTCCTATCAATAGTTCACTTACAGTCATATGTGGTTATTTGCTTCAGGCGATTATAACTATTTTTCATCACTATATCACCGAAATGTAATCGATTTTTCCACTGCTCTGGGCGAGCATTTAAAACTAGTTTTCACTATTGAATTGGAATTATGTGTGACTTGTGGACGTGCTCTGTTGTTTAGTTCTAATCATTGGGATACTTGCATCCTACATAAAGTATGTGGCTAACTTGGAAAGAGTGCGCTCTTACATCGGACAAATAAACTTAAATACGGGAATACTCAGACGAAAATATCTTAAATCTGAGCAACATATCTTATATAACAAACTGGGGTTTATTTCTAATGACTCATTGAAAAACCCCATTTATGTTGTCACTTGTTATCTTGAATTTTGTTTTGACGTTTGTCGTTAGACTGAAACTAGTTTTGTAATTTTTGACTGGATTACATCCCTGCAACTAAAGCAATCACGAAGGGAAAAAAGAAGAATATACGGGGAGAAAAACTCCAATGAGGTTCGAAAGCTGAATGATCTAATAAACCAAAAGATCAGACGTCTGAATTCAACGTTTACTCAGAAACTCATTTCTTGTAAAAACTGCTCAAATATGTGGAAACTATATGAAGGGCTTACAGGCTATTTAAATCAGGAATCTGGAAGAACTGAACACTCCTTGACTCTTGTATCAGTTGATGGCCCTGGTAATATCTGATTAACTTCAGGTCACTAGAGTGCGACAAAACCCGATCCATACTCCTGAAACAATGCGCGGAAGCCACCAGCACACCGCTGTGTGACTCGTTCAAGCACTAACCAGATTTACAGTAACTTCTGAGAGGCTGGGATAGGCTATTCTATCAAATCTTTGAAGAGTGATATAGAAAAGGTTCGGCCTGTTACAGACAAGTCGCGTTACTATTAATAATGTCGAAGGTAATGGGACGACTGTTCAGTTTTAGTAGAGACAAGTCCTGTGCGTTCAGCCTCTTCATAGAATGGGACAGTTGAACAACATGCTGGGATCAGGTGATATCGGTTTACATAATTTGCTTTGACATCACAAAAACCATCGGCATAAAGAAAGTTACAGAGATGGTTTATATTGATCCACTTTTATCTTGGTTCCAAAACTACCTAGGGAACAGATTGTTTTGAACCAAGGTAGATACAGTGCACACAAGCTGAATGGTTTCAACATCAGGAGTTACACTGGGGACAATATTAAGTCCACTACTGGTCTTGATCTTTATTAACTACCTGCTAAACGAAATTGACTGAGTGGCAGTAATCCACGTGGATGACGTGAAAGTATGGAGGTCTGTATAAAGTTAAGAGGATTCATTTGGGTTTCAAAGGGAGCTCACGATTTTGGAAGAATGGGCAGTCAACCGTAGGTTAAAACTTAATCCTTTGGGATATCATTTCATGAACACCCGACCCCATTTGAAATGAAGAACTTTCGTACTTCGTGGAAATCAACTCTTCATTGTCTCTCCGGAACAAAATCTTGAACTATTAGCCACAGAATGCATGCACTAGGTGAAAATGAAAACGGGATGCGGCCAGGGCAAACTCAACCCACCGCTCTATGCTTACATAACTTGGCGCAACTATCCCAACGTTGTTCCTAGCACTGTTTAAAACGCACACAAGTCCTTACCTTGAAGTCCACAATGTCGCTTCACCTCATCTCTTCAAAAGAGATATAAATCTCTTGAACCAAACATGAAACTGGAGAATCAAATTGGTGACAGGTCTTGAAAATAAATCTCACAAGGACAGACTCCAACACCTGGAATTATTCTCGTTGAGCTACAGTACAATAAGCGGTGACCTGATATTGGAATACAAAATCTCAGGTATGTCAAGCCGCCTCAACACGAGTATATTACCATAACATCATCCTTGAGTTAAACCTCGGAGACTACACACCAAAGAGCAAACACCCATATACGCTCTTATTCTTTCTCATTAAGAATTGCTCACAGTATGACTGCTCTCCAAGTCAGGTGACTACAGCCGCACCAGTGGATATCCTTGAGACGAGATGTGACAAATATATTATACAATTTAACCAACATATTGGACTTAATACTGAGGATTAACGAGGGCGGGAAATATATATATTGCGGTACATGTCTCGAGCTGATGTTGCTTTGTTTGTTTGACCATCTTTTTTAACTATGGTCGTTTCAAACTCAAAAAAGAATATTGAGGGTTGCAAACTACCGGTAAAACTACCGGACTCCGACTTTTTCCGTAACACACTTTTGCGTGTAAATAACATTACTAGATAATGCTGAGGTTTTGGGTACCCGTGATGTAGGTGATTGTACATACTATTACGTTCACTATGATGACTGTAAGCCTTTATAATTTCTTCATTTTCCCTTGCAAGATAATAAACGGCTGGATGAATGGGTTAGTGCAGACCGCCTCGACTTTTCTAAAATAGAACGACCACTAAAGAAATCGACCAAAGAACCCGTCACACCTGTTTTCAGCTTATCCTCCACTGAGGACGAAGTTATTAGTTCAGCGGAGCTCCGAGCGACAGATTCGGATTTGGTTTGTGCCTTCATCAAAGATTGATCTGCTTTTTAGAACCCTCCTCTGAAATATCGTAGCTCCAGCTCCTCTAGTTTGACTCAACTGAAAAGAAAACGACCACCTGACGATATCTATGAAGGACCCATACATTTAACGCTACAGAATGACGTGAATGATCTTGTGTTCGATGACTCTCCAACGTCAGCTGGAAAACCCAGGCAAACAGGCAGTATGGTTTCTAGCCACCATGAACAAGATACTGTTACGAGAATGAGAAATCTGGAATGGATTGAATTAGGAAGATATCGAATTAAACCATGGTACTTTTCCCCATATCCACAGGAATTAGCAAGTGTTCCGTGTGTATATATATGCGAATTCTGTCTGAAGTATTTGAAGAGTTTCACATGTCTGCGCAGACACTTGGTTTGAATTATCATCAGTTTTACTTACTTTTAGGCTAAATGTACACTAAGAAATCCTCCTGGAAACGAGGTTTACCGCAAACTGCCTCACAGTTTTTTCGAAATCGATGGACGTAAAAATAAAGTGGGTTAACTCAACTGAAATGATTATTTTCAGACTTATGCTCAACACCTTTGTTTACTTGCAAAACTGTTCCTGGATCACAAAACCTTGTATTATGATACAGATCCATTCTTATTCTACGTTCTTTGTGAAATAGACTCTCGTGGTTACCATCTAGTTGGATATTTCTCAAAAGAAAAAGAATCTTCTGAAGATTACAATGTGGCATGCATCTTAGTACTTCCACCTTTTCAACGAAAAGGTTATGGAAAATATTTGATTGAATTTAGTAGGTTCAGCATTTTGTAACTTATACTTTTCTCTTAAAAAGCCTGGAAAGTGAAGAACTAATGTTGATAAACAATGATCATTGTTCAAATTATTGACCATATATTTAGAAATTAGCATTTTCTGTGGTCAGCAGTAGTTTATATTTTTAATTGAAGTTAAATCTGGGTGACTTATCATTTCGCCTCACTAAACACAAACACTTATGCCCAGTGTATCCCTAAGTAGCTCAGATTTTAGGGAACTAGGAGATACCATAGTTATATGGTATCATCATACCACAAGTCTATCGAAAATCGGTCTCCAGATGTGGCGCGTAATAGCTTAACAAATTGAAATGCGAATGGCACATGAAATTGATTTCTTTTTCTAATCGTTTGTGACATGTATTCATCACATCTTTTAGATAGTTAATTGTAAAGCATTGTAAATATGTGTTCATACAGTAAGCTATTGAATTACTACTGTTAATTACGACTCAGTTCAGTTTTTACGGATCTGACTGTTAATCTAACTGTGAATAAACCATTTTGATAAGTCCTTCTCATCACTCTAGTTTTGCACTCCTCTCCTTTTTTCTTGTGTTCAAATTGCCATGTAGATTTAGTCTGTTATTAGGAGCGGCTAGAAAATAGGGTCAAGCGTTCAGTTGGCAGATTTATCAGTAGCACTGATACATTTTAGGTGTTACACATACAAAGCTTATTTATTAGGATTTATTTTGCACTTTGTTGATTCAATCAGTGTGACTAATACCTTAGCTGTCTACAACTCGTAAGAATGTCTTATGATAAATACACTAGACTCCCTATTTAGTAATTAAACATGTACTCACCATTGTTTGTATTTACTGATGCTCAATATGTTTGACTTCAAAAGTCAGCGTGGTGCTCGATTTAATTACTTCAATTCTCATCTTAAAATGAGCATCCTAATGGATCACTTCACTTACCTTTCTTCCCTAATTGTCTAAAAGACTGTCTTATCAGTATCCTCGGTCTATAAGATTATGTTTCCTTAATTTGGTTCGGTTGTTTGGATTCCTAGGTAATTTATCAATCTTCAGAGGGCTTTTATTTTTTAATTATTTGAACATAAATACTGGTACAGAAGGGCACCGAATAAATATGCGCCACACAAACCACTCGATTCGTGTGTGGGCTATGATACTACCCGGGTGTCCAATCCGAAGCAGGTGGTTTTCTTAGGGGGTCACACCCGGAGCATTTGACCTAAAGGTCTAATCCACAAGGCAGGGGAGCAACGTAAGGAGATGCAGTCCCCATGGTGGTCGGTGAACAATAGGTTCATACGCCATTTGTTCTCTCAGGATCCTGGAGCCTATGTGCACCATTGGTCCGGAATCAGGATTTTCCAACTCCCCTCGGTGGGCCCTCCATATCCACCAACTCGGTTAGAGCGCCGGACATTATCTTTTTGTCTTCAATTTCATTAACAACACAGTCAGTCAACTACAACGTAGGACCAGGTACATGTGTGCATCGGTCCAAGTTGCCATACCTCATTAGCACAACAAGATGAACACAGGATTCATGAAGTAGTTAATTCAATGGTGGTAATATATAAAAGAAAGATTGCATCTAAGGATATAGTACAGGAAGAAATAATTAGTTCGTAGAAAGATATGAAGCGGTCTTAATCTCATAGTTTAAAGGAAGTCAGAGAGTGTATACACCGACGCCGTTGTGATCGATTCCGAGTCATATCACCCAGAGTCTCCAACCATTGGTCACAGTAATCACGCGGACCCCAACCAAGTAGTCTGCATATACCAACATGGCTCAAACTAGAGGTTAGTGACTTCAATGGCTGATGCTACGTTTTAGTTTGGCCGCCCCTAACTTTCTTCCAACCATCCCCTACACTAGTCAGCATTACGCATCGTCTTAGTGATCTAAGATCGTGACTGCAGTGCCCAAGGGACAACTGCTTGAGGTCGGTCACACACGACCTTTTTATGAGTAATTTTCGTGTTAGCTCCGTACTTGTTAAGACCTTAGCGCCGGAGACGGATATCTGTGGGATAAGGCGAGGTGTGCATTTTAGAGTCGACCTTTTCTAACCCCACCCTCCTTGTGGAAAGGTAGTATCGCTGTTATTCTGGTTGTCTGAAGAAAACACCTTACTGTCGTTACACCTCTGTACAGTCAGTAGTACGACTTCGTTCTCTGACCTTGGGTTTGTTGCTTTTATTCTTACCGCTCTTCAACCGACCTGTCTGACATGGTAGGACGTTGAGAAACGATTGTTCTAGCCAATATAGCTCTATTGGTTCATCACGATAGACAGAGAGAAGATAGTGAGTAGGACTTCCTTGGTAGTGGCTGTATACGCATGGTCATGTGAGAGCATTTGGAGAGGAAAAGCTGACTCTCCTCATCCTCGGCCGTATCAGAAAATTTGGGGGCTGGATACAAGAATTCATCTTTGTCAACAAGATTTAAAGGTGGAAAGTGCGTGAGTGTATCTGAGATGATGAAATCCATATGTAAAACCATCTTCACACTTCCATATCTACCAAAATTTCACCATACCAGTATAGTGTGAAAAGAACGTCATTGTCTCCGACACTAGGTACTGTACAATATCGATTATTAGATAGTTATTTCATTGTTGAGGAGTTTGGCATACGTGTATCTTCGTCTAGATTTGCACAATCCTCCATACAGTTCAGGTTTGTATGTCTTATGAAGGTGAGGATTATTGTCAGAATTAGGTAAAACCAAGGGGTTTTTACTACTTAGTTCGGTGCATAGTCACTAGTCCGTATAATCCGAACACATTAGTGCTTAAATTTAAAATATTGAAGTAGTTTATAACCGTATATGTAATCTATCTTCAGACCATGTTATCCAATGGCGTATCAAGGCTTACCTCTCAGTAATACAGATGAGATCATAATTTATGGACGACCTTGATGCGATGCTAAAGTAACTTTGAGAATATTCAGCTTCTTACTAGAGTTAATAAAGGGTTGAAAATTAGTGCGTGTAACTAGCATTAGAATTTAAAGTTCAACGTTAGGGTTAGTAATTAGAGTTAGTGTTTTCACCGTGAATTGACATCAGTTCTAATGCCAAAGTGCTACTTTACCATATGGATGAATAGATTTTACGCCAAAATCCAAGAACCGCTATCTTAGATCCCACTGGTTTGTTCAGAAATTAGTCTTACGTGTGTCTTTTTCATGCCCCACCTCAAAGATTACATACGGCAACCAAATATTAGCAGGAAAAGACTTATACAATATACTAGCCTTTCAATATATATATATATATATATATCGATCACAATGGCGTCGGTGTATACACTCCCTGTCTTCCCTTAAACTAAGAGATTAAAATCGCTTCATACCTTTCTTTCTACGAACCAATTTTTTTCTTCTTGTACTATATCTCTATATGCAATCTTTCTCTTATATATTACCACCTTTGACATAACCACTGCTATGAATCCGGTGTTCATCTTGTTGTGCTGATGCGGTATGGGAACCTGGACCGATGCACATATGTGCCTGGTCCTACGTATATATATATATATATATATATATATATATATATATATAGGCCTTCACATTTACAGTATGGCTCATACTCAAGTACCTGGTGAATGAGTCACGTATATATTTCAATCGTCAGTATACACCTAGTCATCATCTCGTTTGATGTGGTATTTGGATTTGTAAGTGTGTTAAATATTGTTGTATACATTATCCATTAGAACTTTCTAAACTTGGTTTGACTAAGATGCAGTAGTAGAGATCATGTTTCAGTCCCTAATAAGGTGTTATTTTTGTCTCAGCTTGTATACGTTTATATACCATCTAGTCAAACAGGTGGTTTCGTTATAGGAGGAGTCTGTTTATCACGTTTGAAGTTTTGTTATTCAACACTGATCAAACCACTTTTATCTTCACAACGTTTCAGTGCTGGTCTAGCTAGCGTTATCGTACTGAAGTAAAGTGATGCATTTTATATGTCTTGTGTTTCTTTTTCAACAGTTATTACCCCGTTGGTTTGAACACTACTTTCGAACAGATTTTTCTCAATGTTCAGTAAATGAGGCAAAAAAACTAATTATGATCCCTAGGTTTTAATCTAGTCATCATGGTAATTTATGGTGATGTTGGTACATTGGTGTTGAAGTGGTCGTACTTAGACGATTCACTTTCATGGGTAGACCATTTGTTTAACATCAGTTAAAGTTGTAGTTGTAGTTACAGGATTCGTTTCTTTTCTTCAACAACTAATTAACCGAATATTTTGTGTTAATATTTTTCCTATTCAGGCTATGAATTGAGCAAAATTGAAGGTAAATCCGGATCACCTGAAAAACCGCTAAGTGATTTGGGTCTATTATCTTATCGCTCTTATTGGGCTCAAACAATTCTTGAATTGTTACTAAACTCTAAAGCAACAGAAACTGGTCAGGATCCAGCATTAAGTATAAAGTAATTAAACTCATTAATTGTATCTATGTATCTTTTCGCAAGTTGAATCCTTCTATAGGAAATTAATTCTATGACTTAAGTATAGTATAACTTGATGTTTTACACTAGTTGTTCATAGTTCGTTTCAGGAAATCTCTCATCTCTGCTTTACTTTTCCACTTCTAACTAGCAACTTCCAATGTATTCGAAAATTCGTCTTTATCAATAATTCTCTCATGGGATTTCCGAATTTCATGGGAGACCATGGGTTGAATGAGATGTGTTGATTTCTCTTACATCAGCCATTTCTTTTGTGTAAATGTGTGTTCGACCACCCCACCTTTATTTTCAATGCTTGTGGGTTTGATTTCAAATAACAGGACACCGATAAAATATAACTACTCTTATCACTAAAATCAAAATACTCAAGGCCTTTTTTACTTACCTACTTACGCCTGTTACCTTTTGTGGAGAAACATAGGCCACCTGCTAGCACTTCATCCAGCCCTGTCCTGGGCAATCATCTCCCGTTGCTATTCATCCTTTTCATGTCTGCTTCCAATTGACGACGTAGTGTGCTCTTTGGCATTGCTCTTTCCATCTCCAAGTTAGCAGTTGCTTCGTGATGCAGTCTGATGATTTCTGTAATGTATATCCTATCCACTTCCGACGTCTTTTCCTAATTTCCTTTTCAACAGGAGTTGGTTTGTTCTCTTCCACAGTAGGCTGTTGCTGATGGTATCTGATCAACGGACATTGAGTATCTTGTGTAGACAACTGTTTATAAGTACTTGTAGCTTCTTGATGATGGTTGTAGTAGTTCTCCGAGTTTCAGCTCCATACAGTAGAACTGTCTCGACGTTAGAATTGAAGATTCTGACTTTACTACTGGTTGACAGTTGTTTTGAGTTCCATATGTTCTTCAATTGTAAGAATGCTACCATTACCTTGCCAATCCTTGACTTTATGTTTGCATCAGGTCCTCCTTTTCATCGATCACGCTTCCCTTGTACGCGAAAGATTCCACATCTTCCAGAACTTCTCCATCAAGTGTGATTGGGTTGGTGTTAACCGTGTTGTGTTTGAGGATCTTGGCTTTACCTTTGTGTATATTGAGACCTACTACTGCAGAGGCTGCTGCCACACTGGCTATCTTCACTTTCATTTGTTCATGTGTGTGCTATAGAAGGGCCAGGTCATTTGCGAAATCTAAATCTTCTAACTGATTCCAAGCTGTCCATTGTACTCTATGCTTTACCTTAGATGTCGAGGTCTTCATAATCCACTCGACCACAAGAAGAAAGAGAGAGGGGGAGAGTCTTGTCTGACTCCGGTCCTTACCTGGAATGCATCTGTCAGTTGTCTTCTATGCACAACTTTGCATTGTAGTCCGTTGTATGATTGCCGGATAAGGCGGACGATCTTCTCAGGTACACCATAGTATCGAAGAAGTTTCCATAATGTTCTCCCATCCAGGTCCTTTCCTGGTCGCTTCGCTATGATCGATTGCAGCCTCTCGTAGAACAGATCTCTATCGTCATCATTGCTATCATTGGTGGGTGCACAACATTGGATAATATTCACTGTAATTTCCTCCTTCTTTGTTTTGAAGGATGATTTGATGATTCTGGATCCGCGAGATCTCCATCCTGTAAGTGCATTACGTGCTTCTTTGGACAGCATCAGAGCAACTCCCTAAATATGTGGAGCATTTCCCTCTTCGTGACCGGAGTATAACAGCATCTCTCCCGTATCTAATCTTTGCTGTACAGCTTGGGTCCAATGGGTTTCTCTGATTCCGAGGATCGTCAGGTTGTATCTCCTCATTTCCGTTGCTATTTGACTGGTCTTCCCGGTCTCCCCCATTGTCCGAATATTCTCTATACCTATAAAAGTAGTTGCTCTTGTTGTTAGAAGAGGTTTCGGCCTGGTGACTTCCGAATAATCTTGGCTTTCATCATGAGGCGCCGTAATTTTTCCTTCAAATCGGAGGGCAGAGTTTAAACGGTTTAATTTGTTTATTCTGGCTGACGATTTTGCAGCAATATTTTTTTCTATGGGGTGGGTTTGCCGACTCCACATCCAACCGTCTTCCTTTACCTGGGCTTGAGACCGGCAGTAACTCTAGAAGTGCTACAGGTGGCGGTTTAGACAAACAAGTAGCCTTCACACTTATTGTTGCTGTACATAGTTTATCCAACCAGAACTGGTATCCTGACATGACCCTATCGAACTACATTGCAACGTGTGTTTATTTATTCAACCTCATGGATGTCGTCTCTTGCAGATGTAGATAGTTGACGGTCAGTACTTTAATTGAAACCTAAATTCATAGTCCCTTGTATCTTGTTTAGCTAGATCTTGAGACCCAGCATTTTCTCAAAAATGCCGCTCTATGTCGTTTTTTCGAACTATGTTTCCAATATCAATCATTCTCACTATCATTCCTGCTACAATTATATTCAATTCCTTTGGTATCCATTATGTTAACTTTCTTTTGTCGCGCTGATATGATTTGGTAAATTAAGCTAAAGTACATTTGTGTCGGGCTTTATGCTAATTACCATTGACTAACCATTAACTTCAAACATTAAGAGACATTAAGTAATTTATATCTGTTGACATTAACACAACTATAGACACAAATAGATCTTACGGTTACTATTCGTTATTGGTGAAAATGACTGGGAGATATCCTCTTTTAGTGAAAGTTCTGGGAATTCAATCACACCAGTTCATGTTCGTTTATGTAGTTAAGCATAAATGGATGTTGAAATTAGGCACATACCAATTCATGCTTAATTTCTTTGATAAGGATATGAAGCTTCTGTTCGATGAACGATTATTTAAAGAGTGATGAAATGTAGTAATAACCTTTGCCCTAATTTTCTGTGATGTATCATGCAGCCTGGTATATGAAGACCAGAGAAGACAATTTACAACTTGCAACTGAAGGTCATTGCTAAAAGTCTAAATATCTGTAACCTCATTTAGACTAATTTATGCTTCAAGATTCATTCAAAGTGGCTTTACTGTAAGATCAAGTATAGAAAAAACGACTTGAAGTGATGTTGAGTAAACGTTGTTATAGGATGAAGTAACTTTGTTAGTTACCATTTAGATTAACGGCAGTAACTCCTGAGATGATGGAATATTGACGTTAACCCTACTGAAAACTACTTATTGACTAGTGTGACCAAAAGGATGAATATATATGAAGTAGGGTCTGAGGCAAGTGTTGCCACACTTCTGAAGTATCGTAGAAACAAGGCGTGTCAAAAATAAGATAGTGAGATTGAGAAATGGGAATTGTGCTTTAATACTGTTTCCACGACCTCGAAGATGAAAAGACCATACACCTATACCACTGAATCGATTTTAGATCAGTTCAATTAATCTCGAACTTTTTTAACGGTTATCTACTCAAACCTCAACTTGGAAACCTATCTAGCTCAAACAAAACGTCTATGGCTTTACGAACTAGTAGTGTTTTTTGGTTTGACTACATTTGTGACCTACTCATATTCTAGCACAATTTACCATCTTTAAGTCACTTCCGACAACATTACCCACTTGATGGTTTCGTCTTTTAAAAGAAATGCTTCGCATACATGCTTGATTGAATAATTGTCAACTACCCATGTCATCCGTCTTCGAAGGGTATATTTTTTCAAAACTGAAATTAAATCTTATCAGTATAGTGAAAATTCCCATTTTGCCATTTGGTAAATAAAGAAGGAACGAATTGAGCGAAGAAATTTCTTTTCAATTAGTTTTTCATCATGGCTCTACACTAATATATATACGTTTTACAATAATGATATAATACTCGTCGAGTGGATACGTTACGTAATAATTACTGAATGTTAATTTAAATGTCATTATGTAATTATTACGTAACGTATCCACTCGACGAGTATTATATCATTATTGTAAAACGTGTATATATATTAGTGTAGAGCCATGATGAAAAACTAATTGAAAAGAAATTTCTTCGCTCAATTCGTTCCTTCTTTAAATCTTATCAGATTAATGGCTAACGTTTTCACTTACTCCAAAGCAATCTGATCTTTTGCCTGTTTCACAAACAACGTAAATTGGAAAAATCTAGATAATCTTTTTGTTCCCAACCTCAGTCGTAGATTTACATCGCGAAGTTGTTGATTTAACCAAGTGTTTCTCATTTGATAGATGAGAAGCACATCCAAAAAGTTTTTTGATTGTTACTCGTTCTCAGGATAGTGCACTATACTAACATCTTAATTAAACAGGATTAAAGTACCTGGATACTTCAAGTGAGTTAAAGTATCGTCAAACAAGAAAGAAAATGAGTGTTAACTCGAGAAGTATATTCATTATAAATTTGTTGAAAGTGCTTAACTCTGGTAACTTCCACTTAAAGTAACTAATTCAAATAAATTTTAACCATGATTCCTAACCACGGTCATTAATATTCAAATAATAAACTTTCAATAGGGTAATTTACATTTTTAAGTAAATTGTCCTTATCATTCTCTTTTTCTAGTACTATGAAGGTGTCGTCTATATAGCGATAATAAGTTGGTAAATGGCTAATTATGTTTTTAAGTGGTCCGTTTTCCAGTTTTGCAAGGAAAATATCAGCCAGTAGAGGGCCCAATGGTGATCTCATGGCAACTCCATCTAGCTGTCTATAGTATTCATTGTCAAATCTGAATTGTGCATTCATTGTGCATCTGAGAATTAACTGTTTTATCGCGGATGCTGGAATCGGGGTCTCTCTGTTAGTTCATTGCAAATAAAATCAACTGTTTCTTGTAGTGGAATGTTAGTGAATAAAGATGATACATCAAGTGATAACATGAAATTATTCTTGACTGATAGATTTTTTATGTTCTCAACAAATTCAAAGGAATCCTTGACACTATGCTTGGCAATTTCTTTGTGTAATGGTTTAAGAATTTGCACCAACCATTTTGCTATAGTATGATACGCTGAGTTATTCATATCTAAAACTGGTCGAAGGGGTAAGCCACTTTTGTGTATTTTTGGTAGGCCATATAGTCTTGGTGTCATCGTTCCTGTAGGTTTCAACATTTCGAATATCTTTTCTGAAATAAAACCTTGTTGTTTAATTTCTTTCAGTGAATTTGTTAATTGCTTTTCAATCTTATCTGCTATGTCGTTCTTCACAGCCAGTTTCTGAAATTTGCTTTTATCATTTAAAAGGGCTTTCATTTTGTTTATGTAGTCATTTTTATCCATGAGTACTATTCCATGTCCTTTGTCCGGTTTCATGATTAATAAATTGTCATTAGTTTTAAGTTGTCTTAAAGCTTCTGTATGTTTTTTCGTCAAAATCCCTTTTGTGTTGTGTCTATGATTTAAATATTTAAAACAACAGTCGACTAAATATTTAAATTAAACAACAAGGTTTTATTTCAGAAAAGATGTTCGAAATGTTGAAACCTACAGGAACGATGACACCAAGACTATATGGCCTACCAAAAATACACAAAAGTGGCTTACCCCTTCGACCAGTTTTAGATATGAATAACTCAGCGTATCATACTATAGCAAAATGGTTGGTGCAAATTCTTAAAACATTACACAAAGAAATTGTCAAGCATAGTGTCAAGGATTCCTTTGAATTTGTTGAGAACATAAAAAATCTATCAGTCAAGAATAATTTCATGTTATCACTTGATGTATCATCTTTATTCACTAACATTCCACTACAAGAAACAGTTGATTTTATTTGCAATGAATTAACAGAGAGACCCCTATTCCAGCATCCGCGATAAAACAGTTAATTCTCAGATGCACAATGAATGCACAATTCAGATTTGACAATGAATACTATAGACAGCTAGATGGAGTTGCCATGAGATCACCATTGGGCCCTCTACTGGCTGATATTTTCCTTGCAAAACTGGAAAACGGACCACTTAAAAACATAATTAGCCATTTGCCAATTTACATTTTTGTTACTTCTCCCGGTTTTGTCTATTTATTTAAACATAAACATTGGTACAATGGGTTAGCAAAATATATATGCGCCTCACAAACATTTTGTGAGGACTGGGGTACCTCCCGGTTGCCCAAACCGAAGCGGATGGTTTTTTCAGGGGGCCACTCCACGAGCCTTTAAATTAGAGGTCTGATCTACAAGACAGTGAAGTAACGAAAGAAGATGCGGTCTTATGGTAGCCAGTTACCAAAAATAGTTTCACAAACCATTTTTTCCCTAAGGATCCTGGATCCCATGTGCCCTGTTGGTCCGAAATTAGTTTTTCAAATCCTCTAGGTGGATACTCCGTACCCACGGACACGGTTAAAGCGCCAAACATTCTCTTTTCATCCTCCCAATTTCGTAAACAACCCCTCCGCGAGAAGGTAGTGAAAAAGACTTCCTTGATAATGACTATACACCTAGCCATATGTAAGCATTTAAAGAGGGAGAGCAGACTTTATCTACCCTTCGTCTCTTAGCTACGGGACTGTATGTAACCTTTAGGTCAGGTAATGCTATAATGAACGAGAATATAGACGGAGACAATCAATGTATTTTAGTACAAAATTACAGAGTTCTTTTGTCAAATGTGAAAACCATACATCCAATACTTCATTTGAGAAATTCCCATCAATTGTCTCAAACTTCACCGTTTTCTTATTGCCATAACTATTACTCTCTGCTCTCGTTCTCTTCGATTCGATCTTCTCAACCTTCTGCTACCAGGCCTTCCACTTTTGCTTGGTGTTATATACTACCTATGTCCGTCGACATAAGTAGCATACACCACAATACACTTACAATGGAATATTCATTAAGTTGACTATAGTTCATAGTTTAAAGAAGATTAAAAATCTTCTATTTCAGTTTAATCGAAATGAATTACTATCAGATACTAATATTGACAATTACATTTATTAAAATGAGAATTCAATACTTCTACTAAAGTGAAAAGATCTTGTATTGTTTCAAATATTAAATAAGCGATGGTTTACCTGAACGTCCGGGTCGTAATTTTTTAAAATGTTCAGTTATTGATGTAAAATTTTCTTGTTTTAGTTGAGAGGTCAAATTAAGACGTGAAATTATTGACAACTAAATTAAATCATGTTAGCAGGTATATATGACCTACCACCTGATTGAGGCCCCTGTGATTATTGTGACAAATGGTTACAGAATTTGTGTGATATGGCTCAGTTGCATTTACTCTTTGTTTTTTTCTGGAATCTGGGTCCAGAAATCGCCATATACCTTGATTTTTCTTCTTCTAAGCCTAATCTTTCCTACTACTACTAATGTTGTTATTACTTCTACTACGCTGAGATTTGACTTGAAATGATCTTATCTCACTATGCTAATTGACTATGGCAACTTAGACCGATGTACATATGTGTCGGGCTGTACTTTGCATATTTTCTTTCTCCCCCTTAACCTTAAAGGTGATTACTATAGAATTCATATATCAAATATATTCAATGATGAGAAGAAATGTCATGAAAGTAATATTTTCATATAATTGCAAATCAGTCGGAGTGCCGTTAGAGGTATGAGTGCGGTTATCGTTTCCTGGTTACCCACATTGTGGAAGGGTTCTTCTAGAAGTACCTGAAAAGGAAATTGGGTTAGAGGTGCTCTTAGTGACCCGAGAGCATGACCGCAGTGCCCAAGGGACAACTGCTTGAGGTCGGTCACACACGACCTTTTTATGAGTAATTTTCGTGTTAGCTCCGTACTTGTTAAGACCTTAGCGCCGGAGACGGATATCCATGGGATAAGGCGAGGTGTGCATTTTAGAGTCGACCTTTTCTAACCCCACCCCTCCTTGTGGAAAGGTAGTATCGCTGTTATTCTGGTTGTCTGAAGAAAACACCTTACTGTCGTTACACCTCTGTACAGTCAGTAGTACGACTTCGTTCTCGGACCTTGGGCTTGTTGCTTTTATTCTTACCGCTCTTCAACCGACCTGTCTGACATGGTAGGACGTTGAGAAACGATTGTTCTAGCCAATATAGCTCTATTGGTTCATCATGATAGGCAAGCACGACCACCACGTCAAGGTTGCAGCAACGGTCAGGTATCTATAATTGCAAATAACAGATATGCATCGTTCAAACTTTTTTCATACATGTGTTTTTCAGTATTGACAAGTTAATTACTTAGAAAATGGGGATTTCGTTGTGATATTGAATATTTTGTACTGAGAAGTGTACAATGTTTGATAAAGTAAATATTATCATCGTTATAAATCATTACTATATTAAAAGTATATAAAAACTTAAACTGTATAACATGTTTATCATTAGTATTCATGCATAGTAATAAGAAAGTGTCAAAACAACATGTCTGATAGTGTTTCTTTTTTTCGCTCTCTCTCTTCGAATTCTATACTGATTTTAGTGATATTGTTGATAGAACATGTATTAAACGAGATGATGTAATTGCTACCTTATCTCATTTAAATGTATTATACTATGTGAAAGGACAACATGTTATCTATTTATCACGTGATCTTATACAAGCACATCAAAAAGCTATGCAACGTCGTAATTTACGTGTTGATGCAAAATTACTTAATTGGAAATCAAGAGATTGGAGTAAACGTGGTCGATGGTGAGGTGGGGTTTTTTTTTTCCCACTGGAGGAAGTGAAGGTTGGTGGAGCACTACATTCACAGGAAAAATGTGTTATATATATAAGTATATATTCCTGTGTGTATTTATAACGTTTTCCCTTCGTATCAGTTTGTTATCAATAATCATCAATGAATAGTTAGCTTTCATCAATGTAATATAAATTAGATGAAAAATACAATAATTACTATGTATTACTAATTATTGGTTAAATGTAGTGTGATACACTATTTAAACTAGTTCAGATCATGCTTTGAAATGTGAATTGTTTAATAAATTACTTCTAGTTGTATTTATGTTTATGTAGATGTGAAACAGGTTTTGTGTTATTTAATTTAATAAAGAAATGTAATAATAATAATAATAATAATAATAATAATAATAATAATAATAATAATCAGTAAATGCTTCTGTTCTTGGACTCGTCAGCTGGATTTACATGCATTTCAGAGTTGATGTTCATTCTGGGACTCGAACTCAATATCGTTCGCTTTAAGCGTCATCACGTTATCCACTTACCTGTTGAGTTTTGATAGTCACTTGCTTATGCAATGAGGTGACGAGTCCCAAATAGGGTGAAACGCGCGTCAAATTGGACTTCAATGCTAGTTAAGATTAATTCAAATGTGAGTTCTACGTCTAATGTCTCTGGAATAGTTGTGATTGTATATTGTCAAGTGCATTATTTAAATACTGTCTCTGATGTTAACTTGATCAGTGTGCTAATTATTTCTCTGAAATCATTCTTTTACCTGATTTATCCTATTGGCAAGAACTACTGTTTGTTCAACTGAGATAGTGTTCATTTATCAACAGGATATTTTTTTAAAAGATAGTCATGATCGGTTACTGACCGTTTAACTATTAGTTAATCGTGCAGAAAGTAAAAGCTATATATGAAAGCTTTTCGAATAGAGTAATGAAAAGTACCAATATAGGGGTTTTGAAGATTATTAAACTGTGAGGGTAGTCCACGGGTGAACTCGAATAAGCCCTAAGAAACTCAGAAAGATCCGAAGATATTCGGTCCAATCATCTTTTAGAAGAATACTCCAGAATTCCTACGTGGAGCTTCACTATTGGACAAATGCGGATTGGAGGACTATAATAATTTCGTTTTTACTAAAAATTATAAATACCTGACTGTTTTGTACCATAATTGGAACTTGGCAATAGCATACCTTTCACTTGTTTTCTCATTTGCGATTCGGGAGGGTTCTAGCGTTCGAGTGCTCAAGTTATATATATAATATTATATTAAGGACCTAAAGCTCTAGATATGACATGAGCATTATAGACATTACAAGCTGACCTAGGATATCAATTGGGAATCACGAAAAACTAGACAGTTGTTTCGTTCTAGGATGGAAGATGGTTACACAATATCTCAAACTGATTGGATTTAGACCTACAAACGACTGGATGTCGACTTAGTAGCTTGGAAGCCAAGTGTTCGCGCGTGAAACTGAAGGACCTGTGGCCGACCCCCAGTAGAGACGTCGTGGGCGTGCACTGCTGAGAAGTTCCGTACTAAGACGGAACGGTTTTCCAGGATTTCAATAGTTGTTTAAATTTGGTCGGTTCGTAATATCAATGGTGTATAAAGAAATGTTCCAGGAACTATTTCACATATATTTTTGTATAGCTAATAAATTGTCAGGTAGTTGTGAGCATCGACAAACATAGCACAAATATGTATTGATCGTAGCTATCACAATAAAGCAACGAAAGGGGATTATTTATTTATTTCAACACATAAATATTGGTACAAGAGGCCACCAAATATATATGCGTCACGTCATATTTGTATGTGTGTGTGGGCTGTGATACTGCCTGGGTGCCCAGACCGAAACAGGTGGTTTTCTTAGGGGACCACACTCCTAGCCTTTGACCTAAAGGTCTGACCCACAAGGCAGTGGAGCATCGTGAGGACATGCATTTCCATGGTGGCCGGTAACCAAAGATTGGTTCATACGCCATTTGTTCACGCAGGATACTGGAGCCCATATGCACTTTTGGTTTGGAATGATGGTTTTCCAACTCCCCTAGGTAGATCCTCCATATCCACCAACCCGGTTAAAGCGTCGGAAATTCGCTTTTCGTCTTCTCAATTTCATAAACAACACCCTTGCGTCGAGAAGGCAGCGAGTAGGACTTCCGTGTCAGTGGTTGTACACTCGTGGCCATGTGAGGGCATTTGGAGAGGGAGAGCTAACTCTCTTCACTCTCAGTCGTGCCAGGGCATTTGTTAAGCGTACTTGATCTAATTAAGAGTTTGTGAACTAATCGATAAGGAAAAGCTATTCATTCATGCATATCTTGTGAGATCGAAATTTATCATTTATATGAGTAACTGAAGAGTGTATAGGTAGTCGTCTTACAAGGTGCAGCTATAACCAATTCATCGTCGTTCGTAGGCGTCATTTCATTGACCATACAATCAGTGTTACCTCTAGTAATGAACATTAATAAGTTTACTCGTAACGTAATAATCGGATACAATTTCACTTTCAGAGTTGCTCCAGGCTGTCAGTATAGCATAGCTTCATCATTTAGTGACTAGAATGTTAATACAGTCGAGTGGTCTGTACCCATAAAATGAATATTATAAATTCATCTTACATAATATATGAATCATGCGAACACATACTAGTGTATAGATGTGTAGTTTAGTTATTATGTGACCAATCCAGACTGATTTGTATTGATGATATACGAATCAACAGTAACTATGATTACTGTCCTCGAGACGTTATCAGAAGACAATATCTACCCTGTGACTTCAAAGCATTCGTTATTTAGAAAAAATATCAGTCTTTATATTCGTTTTCCAACCATACAAAGTTACAATGTGAATTGATTTATTGCTTTGTACTGATTGATTCAATAACAGAATAGGTCACTCAGTAAGGTTATTTCGATCATATTGTAGCATGAATGAAAATTTAGAGTAGAAAAATTGGTAAAAACATATTGTATGGACAAGCTAGTTGGAATCAAAAGTGTGATATTTAGGTTTATGTTCTAAACTCAAATATAATGTGCTAGCAGTAAAATTACCTTTGTATACTGCTCAAAACGGGGGGGGGGGAAAGTCTGATTTGCACTTCCGCGTTGTGATACCTAGATAGTGGGTGATCTTTTCCCCATGAACTAACGCGAGCGGTACAGCGGAGACCGGAATAATTAACCACTTTGAAGTCAGATGAAAATTGGGATAATCATCCAATTTATCTTAACCTTGATTACATGAGAAGAGAGGTCGACTTGAATTTGGAGTACGACTGAGGCATTGGAGAAAATTTCCCTTTCGGTGTCTGAAAAAACAATTCTGAAATGGCCCATAAGGTCTGTCAGGGACAGGTGAAAGCGTGGATTGTAAGCTGTGCTGTAAATAGTGTACAGTGGGTGATATTAAATCGCCTTGTGGTAAGAGAACGAAGTGAGCATATCGTCAATGATGACTTACTTACATAATGGTTTGAATACTCGATGTTCATCCAGTAAAAACTCTGCTGGACTTGGGGGCCCGGGCGTTCGCATCTATACCTATGTGTTTACTGTGGAGTATATGAGCCTTGGTTTATTCTATATATGCATGTGTCGTATACTTGCGAGGGGGAAATTCTATGTCTATATGTATTCGTAGGAGGTGTACACATGCCTACGCTTCCTGTAATCACAAGTACAGCATATTAGCAACCGCGCCCATCTAAGTCAATATGTATATCACTAGGATGTTTGTATCTTTAATAACTGCATTCGAATATATGCATATGGAGTATACAAAGTTTCCACGTCTCAACTGGCGGACACGATAGTAGATCATCAGCGCGTTTGGTTTGCATAGAAGTTCACAAAAGTGATAGGAAAAGAGTAGTGTGGGTCAATAAGAATATGTCTTCACTACATAATGTGGGCCAAGTTAATTGCCCAAACTACTGATATCATAAACCCTGTATAGACATAATCTCCAGTGTCCAGCCTCACTGCCTTTTCAATGCTCTTCTCTACCGGAAGAGCCGTGGGGCCTTTTCACTTCATTGGGCGGCTAACTGAACTGAAATGAACTGCTCAAAACACTTAAAACTAACAGAAAATTGTTTTTCATAACCATACAGTAAGAATGAGCGTTAAACGTATTGCGATGAACGAGAACACAAGTGAGGACGATCGAATGTAATTGAACACAAAATTACAGAATCTCTTAGTAAAATCTGAGAACCATACAGTAAATAATTCATTTTACAAAATGTCAATCAATCGTCTCAAAATTAATTGTTCTTTCGTCTCCACACCAATCATTCCCTGTTCCCGTTCTCTCTTCTTCGATCTTCTTCCACCAGGCATTACACTTTCGATTGATGATATATTCTACTCATATCTGTCGACATCAGTAGCACGCACCACATTATCAAATGCTTAATTTTATCTCTTCAGATTATATATGTCAGGCAAATCGACTTTATCTCTAAATCTTATCTAGTTTTCTACTGAGCACAGGTAATAACAAGGGTCGTACAGTGAAGGTACCACCCTATTCCGGATGAAACGGAGTGGACGTATCATTAATAAAAGAATATATTCTTTTTGTTGAATAATTTAATAGTATGACAAAGATGTTTCCATTCCAATATTCTTAGGGAATTCAATACCTAATTGTCCAGCATAAGCAACATGCATGTATTAATTAGCGAAATATAGGAAAAGATTTTCGTTCTATTTAGAACTTTGATGCGCAAAGCATCCCAGTGTTAATATATACACCTAAGATTCGAAAACTGACAACTTAGGCGATTAGACTACTGAGTAATATTGAGTATTCCTGCGCCTATCGTGACTCATTAATAATGAGTACAAAGTTTCGGTTTCATTGTGAACATCAGCAGTGGAATCCAGGTACGTTTGAATGATAAATCCCATATAAGATATGACATTCGTCCTAGTTTCCACTGGTAGGTAGTAAAAAGAAACAGAATGACGT